CCTCTTGCATCTCCCTCCCACCATCCCTATCCCATCCCTCTAGGTGGACACAAAGCACTGAGCTGATCTCCCTGTGCTATGTGGTTACTTCCCACTAGCTATCTGTTTTACTTTTGGTAGTGTATATATGTCGATGTCACTCTCTCACTGCGTCCCAGCTTACCCTACCCCCTCCTCGGGTGCTCAAGTCCATTCTCTATGTCTGCGTCTTTATTCCTGTCCTGCCCCTAGGTTCTTCAGACCCAATATTTTTTTTTTAGATTCCATATATATGTGTTAGCATACAGTATTTGTTTTTCTCTTTCTGATGTACTTCACTCTGTATGACAGTCTCTAAGGTCCATCCACCTCACTACAAATAACTCAATTTCATTTCTTTTTATGGCTAATATTCCATTGTATATATGTGCCACATCTTCTTTATCTGTTCATCTTTCAGTGGACACTTAGGTTGCTTCCATGTCCTGGCTATTGGAAATAGAGCTGCAATAAACATTGGGGTACATGACTCTTTTTGAATTATGGTTTTCTCAGGGTACATGCCCACTAGTGGGATTGGTAGGTCGTATGGTTGTTCTATTTTTAGTTTTTTAAGGACCCTCCATACTGTTCTCCATCGTAGCTGTATCAATATACGTTCCTACCAACAGTGCAAGAGGGTTCCCTTTTCTCCACACCCTCTCCAGCATTTATTGTTTGTAGATTTTTTGATGATGGCCATTCTGACAGGTGTGAGGTGATAACTCATTATAGTTTTGATTTGCATTTCTCTAATGATTAGTGATACTGAGCATCCTTTTATGTGTTTGTTGGCAATCTGTATATCTTCTTTGGAGAAATGTCTATTTAGGTCTTCTGCCCATTCTTGGATTGGGTTGTTTTTTTGATATTGAGCTGCATATGCTGTCTATAAGAGACCCACCTCAGACCTAGGGACACATACAGACTGAAAGTGAGGGGATGGAAAAAGATATTCTACTCAAATGGAAATCAAAAGAAAGCTGGAGTAGCAATTCTCATATCAGAAAAAATAGACTTTAAAATAAAGACTATTACAAGAGACAAAGAAGGACACTACATAATGATCAAGAGATCAATCCAAGAAGAAGATATAACAATTGTAAATATTTATGCACCCAAAAAAGGAGCACATCAATATATAAGGCAAATGCTAACAGCCATAAAAGGGGAAATCAACAGTAACACAATAATAGTAAGGGATTTTAACACCCCACTTTCACCAATGGACAGATCATCCAAAATGAAAATAAATAAGGAAACACAAGCTTTAAATGATACATTAAACAAGATGGACTTAATTGATATTTATAGGACATTCCATCCAAAAACATCAGATTATACTTTCTTCTCAAGTGCTCTTGGAACATTCTCCAGGATAGACCATATCTTGGGTCACTAGTCAAGCCTTGGTAAATTTAAGAAAATTGAAATTGTATCAAGTAACTTTTCTGATCACAACGCTATGAGACTAGATATCAATTACAGGAAAAAAATCTGTAAAAAATACAAACACATGGAGGCTAAACAATACGCTACTAAATAAGCAAGAGATCACTGAAGAAATCAAAGAGGAGATAAAAAAATACCTAGGAGCAAATGACAATGAAAACACAACCACCCAAAACCTATGGGATGTAGCAAAAGCAGTTCTAAGAGAGAAGTTTATAGCAATACAATCCTACCTCAAGAAACAAGAAACATCTCAAATAAACAACCTAACTTTACACCTAAAGCAATTAGAGAAAGAACAACAAAAAAACCCAAAGTTAGCAGAAGGAAAGAAATCATAAAGATCAGATCAGAAATAAATGAGAAAGAAATGAAGGAAATGATAGGCAAAGATCAATAAAACTAAAAGAGGTTTCTTTGAGAAGATAAAAAAAATTGATAAACCATTAGCCAAACTCATCAAGAAAAAAAGGGAGCAGACTGAAATCAGTAGAATAAAAATGAAAAAGGAGAAGTAACAACTGACACTGCAGAAAAACAAAGGATCATGAGAGATTACTACAAGCAACTATATGCCAATAAAATGGACAACCTGGAAGAAATGGGCAAATTCTTAGAAATGCACAACCTCCTGAGACTGAACCAGGAAGAAATAGAAAATACAAACAGGCCAATCACAAGAACTGAAATTGAGACTGTGATTAAAAATCTTCCAACAAACAAAAGTCCAGGACCAGATGGCTTCGCAGGTGAATTCTGTCAAACATTTAGAGAAGAGCTAATACCTATCCTTCTCAAACTCTTCCAAAATATAGCAAAGGGAGGAACACTCCCAAACTCATTCTACGAGGCCACCATCACCCTGATACCAAAACCAGACGAAGATGTCACAAAGAAAGAAAACTACAGGCCAATGTCACTAATGAACATAGATGCAAAAATCCTCAACAAAATACTAGCAAACAGAATCCAACATCACATTAAAAGGATCACACACCATGATCAAGTGGGGTGTATCCCAGGAATGCAAGGATTCTTCAATATATGCAAACCAATCAATGATAAACCATATTAACAAATTGAAGGATAAAAACCATATGATCATCTCAATAGATGCAGAAAAAGCTTTCAACAATATTCAACACCGATTTATGATAAAAACCCTCGAGAAAGTATACATAGAGGGAACTTACTTCAACATAATAAAGGCCATATATGACAAACCCACAGCCAACATCATTGTCAATGGTGAAAAACTGAAACCATTTCCACTAAGATCATGAACAAGGCAAGGTTTCCCACTCTCACCACTATTATTCAACATAGTTTTGGAAGTTTTAGCCACAGCAATCAGAGAAGAAAAAGAAATAAAAGGAATACAAATTGGAAAAGAAGAAGTAAAACTGTCACTGTTTGCAGATGGCATGATACTATACATAGAGAATCCTGAAGATGCTACCAGAAAACTACTAGAGCTAATCAATGAATTTAGTATAGTAGCAGGATACAAAATCAATGCACAGAAATCTCTTGCATTGCTATACACTAATGATGAAAAATCTGAAAGAGAAATTAAGGAAACACTCCCATTTACCATTGCAACAAAAAGAATAAAATACCTAGGAATAAACCTACCTAGGGAGACAAAAGACCTGTATGCAGAAAACTATAAGACACTGATGAAAGAAATTAAAGGTGATACAAACAGATGGAGAGATATACCATGTTCTTGGACTGGAAGAATCAACATTGTGAAAATGTACTACCCAAAGCAATCTACAGATTCAATGCAATCCCTATCAAACTACCAATGCCATTTTTCACAGAACTAGAACAAAAAATTTCACAATTTGTATGGAAACACAAAAGACCCCAAATAGCCAAAGCAATCTTGAGAAAAAAAATGGGAGCTGGAGGAATCAGGCTCCCTGACTCCATTGTATACTACAAAGCTACAGTAATCAAGATAGTATGGTACTAGCACAAAAACAGAAATATAGATCAATGGAGCAGGATAAAAAGCCCAGAGATAAACCCATGCACATATGGTCACCTTATCTTTGATAAAGGAGGCAAGAATATACAATGGAGAAAAGACAGCCTCTTCAATAAGTGGTGGTGGGAGAACTGGACAGCTACATGTAAAAGAATGAAATTAGAACACTTCCTAACACCATACACAGAAATAAACTCAAAATGGATTAGAGACCTGTATGTAAGACCAGACACTATAAAATTCTTAGAGGAAAACATAGGCAGAATACTACATGACATAAATCACAGCAAGATCTTCTGACCCACCTCCTAGAGAAATGGAAATAAAAACAATAAACAAATGGGACCTAATGAAACTTAAAAGCTTTTGCACAGCAACGGAAACCACAAACAAGATGAAAAGACAACCCGCAGAATGGGAGAAAATATTTGCAAATGAAGGAACTGAGAAAGGATTAATCTCCAAAATATACAAGCAGCTCAATATCAAAAAAAACAACCCAATCCAAGAATGGGCAGAAGACCTAAATAGACATTTCTTGTTCTTTCAGGTCTTGTTTTTGTATCCATTCAGACAGTCTATGTCTTTTGGTTGGAGCATTTAATCCATTTACATTTGAGGTAATTATTGATACGTATGTTCCTATTACCATTTTCTTAATTGTTTTGGGTTTGTTATTGTAAGTCTTTTCTTTCTCTTGTGTTTCCTGCCTAGAGAAGTTCCTTTAGCATTTTTTGTAGAGCTGGTTTGGTGGTGCTGTATTCTCTTAGCTTTTGCTTGTCTGTAAAGGTTTTAATTTCTCTGTTGAATCTGAATGAGATCCTTGCTGGGTAGAGTAATCTCAGTTGCAGGTTTTTCCCTTTCATCACTTTAAATATGTCCTGCCACTCCCTTCTGGCTTGCCGTTTCTGCTGAAAAATCAGTTGTTAACCTTATGGGGATTCCTTTGTATGTTAATTGTTGCTTTTCCCTTGCTGCTTTTAATATTTTTTCTTTGTATTTAATTTTTGATAGTTTGATTAATATGTGTCTTGGTATGTTTCTCCTTGGATTTATCCTGTATGGGACTCTCTGCATTTCCTGGACATGATTGATTATTTCCTTACCCATAGTAGGGAAATTTTCAACTATAATTTCTTCAAATATTTTCTCAGTCCCTTTCTTTTCCCTCTTCTTCTTCTGAGAACCCTATCATTCAAATGTTGGTGTGTTTATTGTTGTCCCAGAGGTCTCTGAGATTGTCCTCAATTCTCTTTTTTTTTTTTTTTTTGCTTTATTCTGCTCTGTAGTAATTTCCACTATTTTATCTTCTAGGTCACTTATCCATTCTTCTGTCTGTTATTCTGCTATTGATTCCTTCTAGAGAATTTTTTTTTTTTTTTAATGGTATGTGAGCCTCTCACTGTTGTGGCCTCTCCCATTGTGGAGCACAGGCTCCGGATGCACAGGCTCAGCAGCCATGGCTCATGGGCCCAGCCGCTCCGCGGCATGTGGGATCCTCCCGGACCGGGGCACGAACCCGTGTCCCCTGCATCGGCAGGAGGACTCTCAACCACTGCACCACCAGGGAAGCCCCTTCTAGAGAATTTTTAATTTCATTTATTGTGCTGTTCTTCATTGTTTTCTCTTTAGTTCTTCTAGATCCTTGTTAAACGTTTCTTGTATATTCTCCATTCTTATTTCCAAGATTTTGGATCATCTTTACTATCATTACTCTGAATTCTTTTTCAGGTAGACTGCCTATTTCCTCTCCATTTGTTTGGTCTGGTAGGTTTTTACCTTGCTGCTTCATCTGCTGTGTATTTCTCTGTCTTCTCATTTTGCTTAACTTACTGTGTTTGGGGTCTCCGTTTCACAGGCTGCAGGTTCATAGTTCCCATTGTTTTTGGTGTCTGCTCCTAGTGGGTAAGCATGGTTCAGTGGGTTGTGTAGGCTTCCTGGTAGAGGGGACTGGTGCCTGTGTTCTGGTGGATGACGCTGGATCTTGTCTTTCTGGTGGGCAGGACCACGTCTGGTGGTGTGTTTTGGGGTGTCTGTGAACTTATTATGATTTTAGGCAGCCTCTCTGCTAATGGGTGCGTCTGTGTTCCTGTCTTTCTAGTTGTTTGGCATAGGGTGTCCACCACTGTAGCCTGCTGATCGTTGAGTGGAGCTGGGTCTTAGCTTTGAGGTGGAGATCTCTGGGAGAGTTTTTGTCATCTGATATTATGTGGGGCTTGGAGGTGTCTGGTGGACCAATGTCCTGAACTCGGCTCTCCCGCCTCAGAGGCTCAGGTCTGACACCCGGCCAGAGCACCAAGACCCTGTCAGCCACACGGCTCAGAAGAAAAGGGAGAAAGAAAGGAAGGAAGGAAGGAAGAGATGGAGTGAGGGAAGGAGGAAGAGAGAAAAAAGGAATAAAATATGTTATTAAAAATAAAAAATTTAAAAAAGAGAGAAAGAAAGAAGAGAGTAACCAAACCAAAAAAGTTGGTTATAGCGCTAAAAACTATAGTTACAAACAAACAAAATGGACAGTCAGAACCCTAGGACAAATGGCAAAAGCAAAGCTATACAGACAAATCACAAAAAGAAGCATACACATACACACTCACAAAAAGAGAAAAAGGATAAAAATTAGGGCTTCCCTGGTGGCGCAGTTGTTGAGAGTCCGCCTGCCGATGCAGGGGAGGCGGATTTGTGCCCCAGTCTGGGAATATTCCACATGCAGCAGAGTGGCTGGGCCCGTGAGCCATGGCCGCTGAGCCTGCGCGTCCGGAGCCTGTGGTCTGCAACAGGAGAGGCCACAACAGTGAGAGGCCCGCATACTGCAAAAAAAAAAAAAAAAAATTAAAGAAGAGAGCAACCAAATCAATAAAGAAATCTACCAATGAGAATAAGCTCTAAATACTAAACTCCGATAAACATAAACCAGAAACAAATTATTTGGAGAAAGCAAACTCCAAATCTACAGCTGCTCCCGAAGTCCATCACCTCAATTTTGGGATGATTTGTTGTCTATTCAGGTATTCCACAGATGCAGGGTGCATCAAGTTGATTGTGGAGGTTTAATTCGCTGCTCCTGAGGCTGCTGGGAGCAATTTCCCTTTCTCTTCTTTGTTCGCACAGCTCCTGGGGTTCAGCTTTGGATTTGGCCCCGCCTCTGTGTGTAAGTTTCTTGAGGGCATCTGTTCCCTACCCAGACAGGACAAGGTTAAAGAAGTGGCTGATTAGGTGGCTCTAGCTCACTCATGCTGGGGGTAGGTGGGGTATGGAAGGTGGGGCAAGCCTGTGGCAGCAGTGGCCACTGTGACGTTGCAATAACCTGAAGTGCGCCGTGTGTTCTCCCGGGGAAGTTGTCCCTGGATCATGGGACCCTGGCAGTGGCGGGCTGCACAGGCTGCCGGGAGGGGAAGTGTGGATAGTGACCTCTGTTTGCTCACAGGCTTCTTGGTGGCTGCAGCAGCAGCCTTAGCATTTCATGCCCATCCCTGGTGTCTGCGCTGATAGCCACAGCTCACGCCCAACTCTGGAGCTCATTTAGGCGGTGCTCTGAATTCCCTCTCCTCACACACCCCTAAACAATGGTCTCTTACCTTTTAGGCAGGTCCAGACTTTTTCTTGGACTCCCTCCCAGCTAGCTGTGGCGCACTAGCCCCCATCCAGGCGGTGTTCATGCAGCCAACCCCAGTCCTCTCCCTGGGATGTGACCTCCAAAGCCCAGCCTCAGCTCCCAACCACCCCCCCCCCCCCCCGGCGGGTGAGCAGACGAGTCTTTTGGCCTGGTGAGTGCTGGTCGGCACCGATCCTCTGTGTGGGAATCTCTCCGCTTTGCGCTCTGCACCCCTGTTGCTGAGCTCTCCTCCGTGGCTCCAAAGCTTCCCCCCCCCATCCCCCACCCCTGTCCCTGCCCGTGAAGGGGCTTCCTAGTGTGTGGAAATTTTTCCTCCTACAGCTCCCTCCACAAAGTGCAGGTCACGTCCCTATTCTTTTGTCTGTTTTTCCTTTTTTCTTTTGCCCTTCGCAGGTACCTGAGGAGTTTCTTGCCTTTTGGGAAGCCTGAGGTCTTCTGCCAGCATTCAGTAGGTGTTCTTTAGGAGTTGTTCCACATGTAGATGTAATTTTGATGTATTTGTGGGGAGGAAGGTGATCTCCATGTCTTACTCCTCTGCCATCTTGAAGGCACCCCCCCAAATTTTCCCTTTTTATAAGGACATCAGTCATTATTGGATTAGGGGTCCATCCTACTCCAGAGGGATCTCATCTCAACTAATTACACCCTATTTTCAAATAAGGTCACATTCTGAGGTACCAGATTTGGTGAGGGACACAAATCAACCCATAGAAGAACTATTTTGGCAATAACCACACCTATGGTGATGGCTTTACCCCGATTTAGTCACTTTCCCCCAGTATGTTTATAAACAGAATAGAAAAAAACTTGAAGAAATCAGAAAGGTAATAAAAACTTGTAGATAAAATGAGCTCTGTCAGAGACAGTTTATGATGGTGCTTCTGGATCCTGATTCCTCAGGTATGGGGCTCTTGAGCTTTGCCTCACAGTAGCCTCTGGGTCTAGCCTTTCCCCTGAGAGACAGCACTGTCCTTTATATTCAGCCCATACACAGATGAAAGTTCCCTTTCTTTCTCCTTTCTTCCTATTCCCTGACAGCAGCTAGAATTTCCAGAGGAAGTTTGACTAAAAGCTACGAAAAAAGAACCTGGTGAGTTTGAAAGCACAGATTTCTTATCTTAAGAAAAATAAATGCTAGCCCCATCTAGGGCTAATTTAGCTCCTCTACTAAGTTGTGGTCTTCTATGGCCTCTATGAATGTGTTGTGTATTCACTGAGGTCTGGCTGGAGGGAACACCAGATTCCTAGCGCTGTATGAGCTCTTGGAACTGTTTACCTTACAATAACTGTTCCTTCCTCAGAAGCTGTTCTTTTCTGGCTTTGTCGGATTTCACCCTACACATGCTCAGACTGGTATCAACCCAAACACTCAACAGGAACAATATGCACATACCTGGAATTCTTTCCTTTTGCAGCTCCCTCCTTTCTGGGATAATCTCAGCTGCCTTGATCTCCTTGATTTCTGGTTCTTCAATTCAGCAAGTTTCCATTTCCCCTCCTTGGTCATAGTCTGGGAATTATGTGCATGCTGAGAACCCAGGAAATGCAAGTGCTCCCTTCATTTATCTCCCTTTCCTTGGAGATCGCAGGTCTGTGTTGTCTGTTGTCCTATGTGTGAAAATAGTTGCTTCCTATACTTGGTCCAATTTTCCAGTTGTTTTCATAGGATGTAATTCCAATCTGACCCACTCTGTAATGACACAAAGTGAAATTCTCCCTGGCATATGTTTTCGAGACATTTGGCCTTCGTACATAACTAAATTAACTGTTCTAATAGAAGACAATGTTTGGAACTTGTTTTAACTCTCCAGAACTGTTGCTTTGTTTTTACTATTAGTTGTCTATTCTATTTTTCATTTGCCTATTTTTCTGAAAGTAGAAAGCTGTGTGGGGTTGAGAGTTGTTGGGAGTTGAAAATGGATGGTTTAAATTTGGTTAATCACCATCTAGTTAACTTATGTTTACCATGCAAATACTAATTTGGTTTCATAAGTTAAGTGAGTCACCGATTGATGATTATTTTTGTGCATGATGTACTTGGCGAAGATGGAGAAATAGATATTATCATTGATAACACAGTGCTGAACTAAGATGCCCCGAGGTTGCCCACTATTTCAAGAAGGTAGTATTATTTCTCTGGGCTATGTTCCCGAGTTTACCTACAATTCTGCAGTGTGTGATCATGAGGACCAGAGCTTCAGAGTTCTTCACATGGGGAAATCCAGTCCACTGTGGTGTCACCATAAAATGTCTCAACTACTTTCTTGCTATTCCTGAAAAATAAAACTCCTGAAAGAGAAAACAAAGCTGCAAATAACATGACTGCAAATAACATTCTGTCCATGTCATCTTGGTTATAAAACTCAGACTAAAGATTAAAAAAAAGTTATGGTGCATCTCTCTGATGGGCTATAAGGAATTCATTAATATCTTGTTTTCAAAAGCACATTTAGTAACAGTGGGATTAGAAAATGCTTATCATAAAAATGCCAAAATATTTCATTATAATATAAAATTGTAAATACAGTATGATAATCTTTTGTGTGTGTATACACACACACAGACACAACTATATACATATAGATACATTTCATACATATGTATATATATAAAACTGGAAGAAATTTTATATAAAGGTTAGCAACTATTAATCTGAGTCATGGAATTACTGATAATATTTACTCTTGATTGTCAGATTCCATCTTTATCATTTATCTATTTTCATACTTACCAAATTTTCCATGGTAAATATATATTTTTCTATAATCAGAAAATTTTTTCCAATTTTATAGAAAATCATTGAGAGGACAGTATTGGTTAAAAGTAAATTGAAATGCTGGTTTTATTCAAAAAACAAAACAATGGTGAAGTACATAAATGAATTTTGAATGCTGCAGTCTCATCTGTTGTCTAGACGGCTGAAAAGTTTTGAATTTATTTTTCTTTCCTTTTTAGATCAGCATCAAGGTCACAGTACAGGACATGTTCACTGGCATTGAGAAACTTGTTAGTGTGGCTTTCTCTACGTTTGTAGCCAAACCAGTTGGAAAAGAAAAGGTAAATTTCTTTGTGAAGAGTATCTAGCGTGTAATTCAGGGACATATCAACAGAAGTATAAGCATCAGAATTATTATGGAATAAGGGACGTTTCTTTTTACCGTGAGATATACTTTCCCAAGATTTGTTACTCACCAATACTTATCGTAATTTTCACCAATATTTATGTGGTAATATCATAGTATTAACTGCCTTAGAGAAAATGAGAGATGTAGCCAGTTCGTGAAAGAGAAAAACACGTGTTTTAAATGATCTGAAGGTCATGTCTGTTTCCCCATAATATTGCTTGCTGGTTTAGTTCTTTTCTTTTGTGGTTATATAACTCAAAATTGAGTTAAAATATTTTTTTAAAGCAAGTGCATTTTAGCTAGCAGTTGTGTCTTATGGTCCAATCACTTTTTCATACCTAAAGGAATAATGTCAAAGTTGCTGAGTTATTGAAGTTTAAACATAAGCTGCAGGGCATATATAGGGTAAAAACACCCTTAAAAGAAATATGTTGGCCTCATGTGGGTGCCCAGTGGGCTTGCCTTGCTTTGGCCCAGAGCAGCATGTCCCTTGTCTGCTGCGGACTTACTCATAATTTCTTGGCTTTTCTTTTTAGGGTCAGAGTGCCTAGGGGAGGATCTGCATTTAGTCTAAGCATTATTTTTTTAACATTTTATTTATTTAGTTAGTTTATACAGCAAGTTCTTATTAGTTGTCTATTTTATACATTATTAGTGTATATATGTCAATCCCAATCTCCCAATTCATCCCACTGCCACCCCCCCCACCCACTCTTTCCCCCGTTGGTGTCCATAAGTTTGTTCTCTACATCTGTGTCTCTATTTCTGCCTTGCAAACCGTTTCGTCTGTACAATTTTTCTTGATTCCACATATATGCGTTAATATACGATATTTGTTTTTCTCATTCTGACTTACTTCACTCCATATGACAGTCTCTAGGTCCATCCATGTCTCTACAAATGACCCAATTTCATTCCTTTTTATGGCTGAATAATATTCCATTATATATATGTACTACATCTTCTTTATCCATTCGTTTGTTGATGGGCATTTAGGTTGCTTCCATGACCTGGCTATTGTAAATAGTGCTGTAATGAACATTGGGGTACATGTGTCTTTTTGAATTATGGTTTTCTCTGGGTATATGCCCAGTAGTGGGATTGCTGGGTCATATGGTAATTCTATTTTTAGTTTTTTAAGCTCCATACTGTTCTCCATAGTGGCTGTATCAGTTTACATTCCCACCAACAGTGCAAGAGGGTTCCCTTTCCTCCATGCCCTCTCCAGCATTTGTTGTTTGTAGATTTTCTGATGATGCCCATTCTAACTGGTGTGAGGTGATACCTCATTGTAGTTTTGATTTGCAATTCCTCTAAGAATTAGTAATGTTGAGCAGCTTTACATGTGCTTCCTGGCCATCTGTATGTCTTCTTTGGAGAAAAGTCTATTTAGGTGTTCTGCCCACTTTGGGACTGGGCTGTTTGTTTTTTTAATATTGAGCTGCATGAGCTATTTATATATTTTGGAGATTTATCCTTTGTCTGTTGATACATTTGCAAATATTTTCTCCCATTCTGAGCATTGTCTTTTTGTCTTGTTTGTAGTTTCCTTTGCTGTGCAAAAGTGTTTAAGTTTCATTAGACCCCATTTGTTTATTTTTGTTTTTATTTCCATTACTCTAGGAGGTGAGTCAAAAAAGATGTTGCTGTGATTTATGGCAAAGAGTGTTCTTCCTATGTTTTCCTCTAAGAATTTTATAGTGTCTGGTCTTACATTTAGGTCTTTAATCCATTTTGAGTTTATTTTTGTGTATGGTGTTAGGGAGTGTTCTAATTTCATTGTTTTACATGCAGCTGTTCAGTTTTCCAATCACCACTTATTGAAGAGACTGTTTTTTCTCCACTGTATATCCTTGCTGCCTTTGTCATAGATTAGTTGACAACAGGTGCATGGGTTTATCTCTGGGATTTCTATCCTGTTCCATTGAACTATATTTCTGTTTTTGTGCCAGTACCATATTGTCTTGATTACTGTAGCTTTGTAGTATAGTCTGAAGTCAGGGAGTCTGATTCATCCAGCTCTGCGTTTTTCCCTCAAGATTGCTTTGGCTATTCAGGATCTTTTGTGTCTCCATAGAAATTTTAAGATTTTTTGTTCTAGGTCTGTAAAAAATGCCATTGGTAATTTGATATGGATTGCATTGAATCTCTGGATTACTTTGGGTAGTATAGTCATTTTCACAATATTGATTCTTCCAATCCAAGAACATGGTATATCTCTCCATCTGTTTGTGAAATCTTTGATTTCTTTCATCAGTGTCTTCTAGTTTTCTGCATACAGGTCTTTTACCCCCTTATGTAGGTTCATTCCTAAGTATTTTATTCTTTTTGTTGCAATGGTGAATAGGATTGTTTCCTTAATTTCTCTTTCTGAACTTTCATTGTTAGTGTATAGGAATGCAAGAGATTTCTGTGCGTTAATTTTGTATCCTGAAACTTTACCAAATTCATTGATTAGCTCTAGTTGCTTTCTGGTGTCATCTTTAGGATCATCTATGTATAGTATCATGTGATCTGCAAACAGTGACAGTTTTACTTCTTCTTTTCCAATTTGTATTCCTTTCCTGTTTTTCCTCTCTGACTGCCGTGGCTAGGACTTCCAAAACTATGTTGAATAATAGTGGTGAGAGTGTACATACTTGTATTGTTCCTGGTCTTAGAGGAAATGCTTTCAGTTTTTCACCATTGAGAGTGATGTTTGCTGTGGATTTGTCATATATGGGCTTTATTATGTTGAGGTAGGTTCCCTCTATGCCCACTTTGTGGAGAGTTTTTATAATAAAATGGGTGTTGAATTTTGTCAAAAGCTTTTGCTGCATCTATTGAGATTATCATATGGTTTTTATCCTTCAATTTGTTAATATGGTGTATCACATTGAATGGTTTGTGTATATTGGAGAATCCTTACATTCCTAGGATAAACCCCACTTAATCATTGTGTATGATCTGTTTAATGTGTTGTTGGATTCTGTTTCCTAGCATTTTGTTGCGGATTTCTGCATCTATATTCATCAGTGATATTGGTCTGTAATTTTTTTTTTTTGTAGTATCTTTGTCTTGTTTTGGTATCAGGGTGATGGTGGCCTCATAGAAAGAGTGTGGGAGTGTTCCTTCCTCTGCAATTTTTTGGAAGAGTTTGAGAAGGATGGGTGTTAGCTCTTCTCTAAATGTTTGACAGAATTCACCTGTGAAGCCATCTGGTCCTGGACTTTTGTTTGTTGGAAGATTTTTAATCACAGTTTCAATTTCATTACTTGTGATCAGTCTGTTCATATTTTCTAGTTCTTCCTGGTTCAGTCTTGGAAGGTTATACCTTTATAAGAATTTGTCCATTTCTTCCAGGTTATCCATTTCATTGGCATAGTTGCTTGTAGTAGTCTCTTAGGATGCTTTGTATTTCTGCGGTGTCCATTGTAACTTCTCCTTTCTCATTTCTCATTTTATTGATTTGAGTCCTCTCCCTCTTTTTCTTGATGAGTCTGGGTAAAGGTTTATCAATTTTGTTTATCTTCTCAAAGAACCAGCTTTTAGTTTTATTGATCTTTGCTACTGTTTTCTTTGTTTCTATTTCATTCTGTTGCATCACATTTCCAGGTTTCTGGAGGTCAGTTAGAGTTTTACTCTGACTTATTGATTTTTTCAGTTTGCTTATTAGACAATGTTTTCACCATGTGTTGAAATTTCCAAATTGGGAATATCTCTTGGTACATGATAGCTTTCTCTAGAACATCTTTATTCTCTCCCTTTGATAGATTAATTTTGCAAAAGGTAGAAAGCATTTCTTGATAAGAATTTAGTGGAGTCAAAGTCCCTCCCCTCACTCATTAATCTGAAGAATTTTTAATTTTGTAGTTCTGTTGAAAATTTTTTAAATCAGGGAAAATTAATATTTGGAAAACTTATTAAGGCACATATTATATGAACAAATAATTAAGTCTATGTTGATTTTTTTTAGTTTAAAAATATTTTAAGAAAAAAATTAAGTCAAAATAAAATGCATATATAAACACCCATAAATGCTCTATTTACTTTGAGTTAGAAAACAATGTAGCATATCATTTGTTTTTGCAAAATTCATGATGTGCTTTTATAGTTTAACAGGGCAATGAAAGATAACTGTTTTTCTTTCTCTAGATTCATTTAAAACCAGTCACACTTCTAACTGAACAAGATCATGTGGAACATAATCTGGCTTCTGAGAGAAGGAAAGTTCGATTACAACATGAAGATACTTTTAAAAACTTGATGAAGGAAAGTGGCAAGTTTGATGGTCAGTAAATCTACTTACAGGAACTTTAATTATATGACTGTGGCCTAGCATGTGATCTATCCTGGAGAATGTTCCATGTGCACTTGAGAAGAATGTGTATTCTGCGGTTTATTGATCCTTTCCAGTAATGAGAAAGAAAACCAGAGCTAGAATAACCTCAATTCAGGTCAGAGTTCCTGACCAGAAAATGCGGGATAAATGTAAAATTGTCCAAGCAGAATGACACAATACTTAATGAACATACAAAGTACAAGAATTGAAATTGACCTCCAGATGAGTATGCCCCTATTTGGAAGCCTGTAGAAAGGGTGACATTTGTTTATTGTACTTAACATGGGTACACAGCCAGAGCTGTGAGCCTAGACTGATCTCTAAACCTGGAAGAACCCTATTTCCCCATTGATTGGCAATTACCTCAAATAGGCATACTTCTGCACCAAGGTCCCCTATACTCAATATATTTCTGCGTAGATGTCATAGCTGATGCTTATACACATATGACCTGCCCTAGTTATCTCCTCTATGTGTCCTAGTGTAGGCCATGTATGTCTTCATAGGAATCAAGTAGCTTTTTCTTTAATTATCCCTCAGAAAAGGAGTTGCCTTATATTTGAGTCTTTACAATGTCTCTCACAGTATAAGGTCCTCTTAATTTTTTATTTTTATCCTGGTAACACAATACTCAAACAAGTATGCACCTTTCTTTTTTTCATTTAACAATATAGTTTACAGATAATTTATATTAATTTATTTTGAAACAAAAAAGTACCATTTGAATAAGAGAAATTAACCTCAAAAAGTCTCAATCAATACTGGTTTTGGATGTTTATAGAAAATTATCTAACAAAATCAGTACTTAAAAAAGAAGTTGGAAGGGATTTAAGACTTCATATGCTTTTTAAGGATCACTTTAGGAAACAATCCAATTCTGATTACAGCACTATGGTGGACTTGGAGTCTGAAAAAAACTAAAATTTCTGGATGAAATATTTACAAACATCTTTGCAAACACATCTCAGCAGGCAAAAAAATAAGAGAAAGGCTTGAAGTCCACAAATGATTAGAAACACAAATTCAGCAGTGTACGGAGATACAAGAGTTGGCATTTACTCAGGAGGAACCTGTATGTGCCAGACCTAGAGCTGTGTTTTAATGGGCCTGCCAGGGCTCAGGAGACACAGCCAGGTGGAAGGTTGGATCAAGGAACCATACCTGGAGCTGCAACACCCCCAAAATGATACCCTCAGTGGGTCAACTGGAAAAATCCCACCCCTCAGAGAGCTCTGGTAGGGATGCTTTCCACTTAGCCCTAGGTGGAATGGAAAAAAACTGTTTCTCTTTGAGGATTCAATCACAACTACATTCTCAAGCAGATTTGGTGTCAGAATTCACATAATTTGTTTGGCCCAAAACAGACCAAGTGATACTTAGTGTGAAGTGGTACTGTGCTATGTACCCACGGGTGATCTGCAGCCACAAATACAAAGCCTCTGTGAAGAAATGACTTTAAGCCCAGCCCTTAAGAACTGTCACAGATAAAGATCCAAGGAATGTGAGCTCCTAGTCAAAAATCACAAAAGACAAAAATAAGTCACCTAAATCCAAAAAAGCACCAGACCATAGAATGAGGTCCACAAAGACTACAGATATTGAATTTACCATATAAAGAATGTGCAGTAAGAACATTAATATATTTTAAGAAAAGAGTATCAAAAGTATTATATAGGAACAAGAAAATGACCTAGACTACTTGACAAAGAAGCAAAAGGAATTTCTATAAAAAGAATATATAATAATTAAAATTTGAAACTCAGTGAATGGGACTTCCCTGGTGGTGCAGTGCTTAAGAATCTGCCTGACAGTGCAGGGGACACGGGCTTGATCCCTGGTCTGGGAAGTTCCTACATGCCATGGAGCAACTAAGCCTGTGTGCCACAACTACTGAGCCTGCGTTCTAGAGCCTGTGAGCCACAACTACTGAGTCCACACGCCACAACTACTGAAGCCCGCGTGCCTAGAGCCCATGTTCCCCAACAAGAGAAGCCACCACAATGAGAAGCCCGTGCACCACAACGAAGAGTAGCCCCGGCTTGCCACAACTAGAGAAAGCCCGCGTGCAGCAATGAAGACCCAATGCAAACAAAAAAAATAAACAAAAATTAAAAAAAAAACTCAATGGATGAATTAAACAGCATCTAAGACAGTAAACTGGAAAAGTAAATCTGGAGAAGTTACCTAGAATGCAGATGGATAGGCAAAGAAATGGGAAATATATAAGAGAGATTAGGAGATATAGAGAATGGAGTAAGAAGTCTAACAAGCATCTAATCAAAGTTCCAGGAAGAGAGGAGAAAAAGAAAGGGGGAGAAGTAACATTTGAAGCAAACAACATTGACATTTCATTAAAGGGTAACATGAAAGTTTCATATACATATGAAAAGATGTTGGACCTCATTATTAATCAGGGAAATGCAAATTATAACCTCCATGAGACACTATTTCACACCCATGAAATTGGAAAAATTGAGGAGTCCACAATACTATTTAAGTGAAAATGGGGAGCAGTAGGAACTGTAATAAACAACAGACAGAAGTATAAATCAGTACAATCATTTTGTTACCTAAAAATATTCTGTTGTTAGTAAGGACTGTGAACGTGTAATAAATCAGCAAAGTTAAGTTTATTCATCCATTTATTCATTCAATAAATATTGACTGAGCACCCACATTCTGGAATTTTATTAGAATTTTTAAAAATCAGTCCTTTCCCAAAGGAGCTTAGGATATAGGGGGTCAGATAATCAAAGATCACACAAATAAACATAAAATTATAACCGTGAAAGAAAGGTACAAGTGGGAGCTCATAATAGTGGGGCTGCTGTGGTCAGAGGCGGCTTTCCTGAGGAAGTAGTGACTGAGATGGGCCAAGAGAGAATAGGAGGTAAGTGGAAGAAAGTGTGGGTGGCCAGTGGAACTGACGCTGACAGAGGGAGCACCACGTACAAATGCCCTGATGTTGAGGGCAACATTTAGTTACAGGAACTGAAAAAGGGCTATTGTGGTTGGAACAAAGGGAGAGAGAGCTTGAGAGGGGAAGGGGTGCTAGGAGCAAATCAGACTAGCTGGGGCTGGAGAGGTAGGCATAGGTCAGACAGGAAAGGAAGGGCTTGGGGCCATAGGAATGATTTAGGTTCTTCTAATAGGCCAAGGGGAAGTCACTGCATGTTTTTAAGCAGGGGACTGAAATGATCAGTGGAATGAAGGGGAAAAAACATAAAAGAAAAATACCATCAATTAATGAAAAATATAATAATTAGATCAGGAAATGGAGTTAAATCTCTGTAACCACTCTTTTCTGCTCACTTATATGTGACTGTGATAAGAAAGGCTCCATTCCCAGTTACCAACAACAGCCGGGCATGTCTGTGCTCTCACACTGAAAGCTCAGCTGTGCCTCTGACGGTACAACCAGGATGGTGCCCTACTCTGTAATTCTTTCTCCCACCTCTTCAACAATAGTACGTGAGATATAAGCCTAGCTGGTAATTCCCTTGATGATGCAGGCAATATAACTGAATACATTTTACTGCTTTGCCGCCAAAGTAAGTAATTTCTCCATTGTTGAGAGTCAAAACCAATTTGTCAGTAAATGAAGCAGATATGATTCAAAAGAAGCAGAATGACACTAAGAAGTACAATGTTTTGTGTCTTTTCTGTTTGTGACTGCATTCCTTGCAAAACAGTAACTACGGGAGGCCATATTCCCATTCTGAAGTTTATCATACAGCAAACTATTCCAGATTTTCAGTGTCTGTGGCCCTTTACAGCTCAAATCCCTTTCTTTTTTAATAACTTAATTGACATACCATAAATGGCCCATACTTAAAGTGTACAACTTGATAGGTCTTGAGACATGTATACCCCCATGAAACCATCACCACAATCAAGATAATAATATATCCATCAATCCCCAAATTTCTTTCTGCCCTGACCTGCTCTGATCTGCCCCTCTTCCACCTGAAGCAACTCAAACTTAAACTTAAACATTCTTTTAATCAAAATTCTGGTTGAGGGCTTCCCTGGTGGTGCAGTGGTTGAGAGTCCGCCTGCCGATGCAGGGGACACGGGTTCGTGCCCTGGTCCAGGAAGATCCCACATGCTGCGGAGCGGCTGGGCCTGTGAGCCATGGCCGCTGAGCCTGCGCGTCCGGAGCCTGTGCTCCGCAACGGGAGAGGCCACAACAGTGAGAGGCCCGCGTACCGCAAAAAAAAAAAAAAAAAAAAAAAAAATTCTGGTTGACTTGTAAAACAGGTTGGAATACAATCTCTAAAATGCCCTTTCTGATCTGTGGTCTTATCCAATTCACTGTAAATAAAGTCTATTCATTTCTTCAGGAGTTTTAAGTCTTTGGTAATAATTTATGTTTTCTAAAAATTCCCATGAGTTGAAGGAAAGGCTGTAGCCTCAGGTTCTGCATTTAACTCCACCATCTTTGTTCACATCCACCTTTCAGATCCCACTTGTGATGAAGAAGAAGGAACCGTTTCCACGAGGGGCACCTCTGTGCAGAGCATTGAACTTGTCCTCCCACCCCATGCAAACCATCATGGAAATACATTTGGTGGCCAGATCATGGCTTGGATGGAGACAGTGGCTACTATTTCTGCAAGGTTCTTGGTTTGGACCTTTGGCTTGTGATCTTGAGACCAGTGGGGAGAGGATAGAAGGGTCTGAGGCTCAGCTATTGGGCAGTCAAGGAAACAAGTACAGAACAATGTTGCCTTTTATCAAAATGAGAAAATGATAAGTCATTTTCCTGTTTACCTTAGAATTATTCTGTCCTTTTTTGAAGGTGAATGTTTAAATTCTTGGTTTAAAAATAAAAACGAAATGACAGTTCTTATACTTGATTCTGAATTATGACTGTTGATCTTATGACACTGCAACTCCTTGTCACATTACTTATGACAAAGTAGATGCAGGATAGAAACAGAAGATAGCCTTTACACTTAAAAACGGTCAAGATACAAACTTCTATAAAGGCGGTTTACAATTAGGTCTGATCTCTGAAGGTGCTGGTTAGAATCACCATGGCCAAAGGATTAACTGAAAAATAAGATGAGAAAGAGGAAAGAACTTAGAAAAGTACTTTTAAATGCTCCTCAGTTTCAAAAAGGGTTCCTTTATTCTTAACGAAGCCATGTAGGTAATTGAGCAGCTTTAAAGAACATTGTGTTCTCTGAAAATGCATTTGAACAGGATCTGCCCTTCCGACAATTTTTGTAACCACTGAAAATTGTTAAGGTTTTATTTCCCCCAAATTAAAGGAATTTTATTAGTAATATGTCTACAGTTACGACTATAATTAGAAACCTGTGGTTATCCTTCCTATAAATTGTGCACAAATATAAGAGCTTGTTTTTAAAATGACATTGTCACTCTTAATGACAATAAAGCATTTGAACCTGTTCTATTGTAAAGGCTTACAATATAATTAACTATGGCAGAGTCTGTTCACTTATTGTTGGCACAATTCTTTAGAGTAATTGGAAGACTACAGTGGGAATCTAAAATGTAGAAAATTATGGAAGTAACTTTCTGAGATTAAATTTTCTTTATCGATTTTCAAAACTCCGCACACCACAAAAATTGTAAAATGTATTCTTTGTAGCCTTTCAGGCTTTGTGCAGCAATCCAGGTAATTTTTCTTTAGGGGAAAAAAATTAGTCTTTGACATGCGGGTGAACTCAAGTAACAGTGAAGCCAAGGAATGCATGTGAATGGCACCAGCTGACAGTTCTCTTCACTGTGCCCCACTCCAACCTGGGAGTCACAGCTTTCTGTGATTGTAGTCATGAGCTGTCAGGAGGGAAAAAAATCCCTCAAATTAGAACAAACGACAGCGGTTTGTTTTTTGGAGATACTTCCATAGGGCACAAAACAAGAGCAGGACTGTCACCACAAGAGCAGGAGCACCAGCATCTTGGTAAAGACCCCACGGCCTGGGGACGTGTGGCATTTCCTAAAATATTTGCAGGTAATGTACAGGACCACTCTCAACACACACAATCCAGTTATTCATTTCCCTCTTGAGCTAAAAGAGATATTCATTTAGAAAGCACCCTGAACACTGGCCTATTGCATCCATTAAGCAAAGCAACAGTTCCTGAAAATATTTTGGAGAATGATCACTTTCTTCTCTCTCTCCTTCCCTTCGTTTCATCAGCCGCCTGTGTCGAGCGCATCCCCTTCTGAAGTCCGTGGACATGTTTAAGTTCCGGGGACCATCTACAGTTGGAGATCGTCTTGTCTTCAATGCCATTGTCAACAATACATTTCAGACCTGGTAAAGCATGTCTGGTGCTCTTAGGCTGCTATAAATGAATTCAAACTTGCACATAAGCAATATTTTTTGTTTTATTTCAATCTGGAGGTAAGTATAGTGACTACTTTAAAAAAATCAAGTTCCTTCTAATTTTTTTTAAATTTCACTTAATCTTCGAAATCCACAGACACACATTTTAACTCTCTGTTCCACTTCAGGCCTCCTTACACTGTTAGGATAAGTTGGTTTTTGTCTCATAATAAGTGTGACTATATGTCCTACTTGATCCAGGATGGTCTTGGTTTTTGCACCTGTCATAATTATTCATTCTTCCTTTCACTCTCAAAAGAGTCCCAGTGACTGTGTGGTCAACCACTTCATAATGGACCCATCATTTATCACCATGAAGTCCAAACCACTTCCCAGTTATTTTTATTATTCTTGATACACAAAGAAAAGATTTAATTTAGTATTTTTTTCTTTTTAAATGTAAAAAAGAACATCTGTGTTTCCTATCCAGTTTCAGTGTTCGATGCTTTTAAATTACAGGACTATTGTTTTTAAGAGAGAAAACTTGACTTTGGCACAATTTAACCACCCCTCCCCCATTACCAAAGTATGTTCATGAAGGTATATAAAGTTCCAATGGCCTTTTTACCACTTGAAAGTGGGAAAGTAAAGCAGAAATGCTCCCAGGAGCTTGTACATCAGATCAATCGACCTGATGAAATGGATGTTAACAGTTGCATAGATTAGCAGATGACAATGAAACAACCCAGGGTCCTCATTCTCTTCCTTCCCTGGAGGAGGTGGTGGGGCAGTGGGCAGAGTAGGCCTGGCATGCTCAGTTTCTCTGCCCACTGCCCTTGTCGCCCGTCTGCAGTGTCGAAGTGGGAGTGCGCGTGGAGGCCTTTGACTGCCAGGAGTGGTCTGGGGGCCGGGGCCGTCATATCAACAGTGCGTTTCTCATTTATAATGCTGTCGATGATAAGGAAGAACTGATCACATTCCCCAGAATCAAACCGATGTCAAAGGTCAGTTATTAGCATGTGTGGTTCAGTAATCAGACCACTTATTCTGGGGAAGCTGTGGGTACAGAGCTCCACACAGAATCTTTCCCTGAACTGGCAACAACCTCCATGTCTACTCCCCTTTGGTTTTCTTTCTTTTCTGCATCACAAAGTAAAATGGTCTTTTTCTTCTTTTTCCAAATCACTCTAGTCATTTCTTTAAATGATGAAGTCCCTGAAGACTTCACATCTACTCAGCCACATGCTACTGTTGGGAGCATATCGTCTTCCGTGTCTCATTTCTGAGTCTCTTCTCCCACCTTACACCCAGTTCTCTATGCTGCTCTACACTCATCGGAATTAAGCCTTTCGGAATAAGCTGCCAACTCTGACCTGAAGATAGTTCACGTAGAGACCCCTTGTCCCAATTAGCCTTTTCAACTGACTTAGGAGAGAGAAACTTAAGGATTGTAGCACTAAAATATTAGAAATTTATTGATTTTACTTTGTTTTTTATTTAAGGATGATTTTAGACGGTATCGTGGAGCTCTTGCACGCAAGAGAATTCGCCTAGGCAGGTAAGGGACTTAGGTGTAAGGATTTTATGGAATCTTCTCTCATCTGACAAATTACATAGCAAAGAGCCCTCTCTGTGTCTCTATTCCCACATAACGTAAAAAGAGAAGGTCTGATGCTTTTTGACTGTGGAGACTACTGTGATGGAAATTGTTCTTTCTGATTGTTCCACCAGTAAAGGCAGCTTTTTAAAACTGCTGATTTCAGTTCAAGAAACTGTCATAGTTATTGCTGTGTGCTAAATACAGGGAAGAAAACTGTTATTTAATATTTTAATTTTTTTCCAGAAAATACATTATTTCCCACAAAGGAGAGGTTCCACTTTGCATACACTGGGATACTGGCAACCAGGTGACAGTTTTATGATCTGAAGCTCTTCATGTAAAATCACTTCATTACAAAAATGGAAATCCCCTCATTTAACTGACTCATGTTGTGCCTACACAGGTTAGATGAAAAGGTGAATTATAGCAACCAGTCATCTCAAAAATGAAACAAAACCAAGCTATCAGCAACTAGTTTTCAGCCAGCTGCTTCACTGCCTTGTTTGAATTATATGTATCGTTCCTGAATACAGACTCTGGATGCTCTGCCATCAAATGCATTCAAGCAACATAGGACATTGAGATCTGGTGTTTCATCATAGCTTGTGTTGAATGACATGCCCACTGGCTTGCGTTTTTATAACACAATAGAGAAGTATTAGTCATTTTAATGTTTTTGACCATAAAATGTAAAGGGAAATCCAAGTTTACTTATTACCCGTTGATTACAAGTCATACTGAAGGGTGTTCTTGTCTTTGCTTAGGATGCTAATTAAAATGATACTAATCTGCTAAGCATATATGACTCACATTACCTGTTTGAATTCGGCATTAAGAGTTTGAGACAGAAATTATGTTCCTATAACTTAGTTCTAACCTCAGCATCATCACTTTGGCTCTAACAGTGCCCACTTTCTAAGCAGAAAATATTTGATCACATATCTGCACTGAACTCACAGCATTTCAAATATTTGTGTTTTAGGTATCCTTGAGTAATGGCAATGTGGAGGCTCTCAAAAGCCTGGCGGCCAAAAGTGGTTGGGAGGTTACCAGTGCTGTGGAAAAGGTAGGAGGCATCCAGGTATACACACAACCCACTGCCCATCACAAATGAAAGTTGTCATGGTAGTGGTTGTTCTGCTACTTTTAAGAAGGAAAAAATGGAGATCAAGATGGCAGAGTACAAGGACACTGAGCTCACCTCCCACTACGAACACATCAAAAATACATCTACATGTGGAGCAATTCACACTGAAAACAAACTGGAGAGTGGCAGAAAGACTCTTATACAACAAACAAGTCTGCAGAGAAAGATCCACATGGAGTCAGGTAGGAGGGGAAGAGAAGCAATCAGGTCAGGACCTGCAGCCCTAGGAGAGGACACCTCAGCCCTGGGGTCTGATACCGGGAGAAGGAGTCCCCTTAGCTTGTTTAAAAACCAGTGGGACTAACAGGAGGGCTATAAGAAACCTAGACTCTGCTCTTAAAGAGCATACACATGCTTCCTTACTCCTGGGAACCAGGCAAAGGAAGCAGATTGAAACTTCCCAGGGCTCTGGCTGGTTTCCTGCAACCACCACAGTGCACACCCTGGCCCATGCCAAGCATCCACTCCAGCCCCTCTAGCTCCACTGCAGCTCCCCACTAGGGTGAAGGTTGCCACTGCTGAGGAGGTTGCACAGCTGGCAGAAATGGAGCCAGCTCAGACCAGGCACTGCATCTGAACAGGGCAAGGGTGGCCATTACTGGTGCTCGTGAAGGTGGTGGATCACAAGCAGTCTGGAGCTCTGACTGGTGTGCCAAGACTGCCTAGCACATACCCCAGCCTACACCGGGTACCCACTCTGGGCCTTCTTGCTCCAGCACTTCTCCCCTCTGCGGTGATGGTGCCACTGCTGGAACAGGGGAGAGCGCACACTTAGATGGAACAGAACTAGCTTGGACCCAACCCTCAGGGCTTCTGTGCCAGCACGTTGGGACCCCCTCACTGCCCCCAGTAGGGCAGTAATGGCCACTAAGCATAGGAGAAGCCCTAGCTCACAGCTAGCTCTGGCTTTAGCCCCTCCATATCCAGCCCCCCGCTCCCACCAAGGTGATAGCTGCCAGCACACCCTGGGGGAAGATGTGACTCATGCTCACGTCAGATCCAGCTCTCCCACCAAAGCCACAGGGCAGATATGGACTGCATATGGACATTCCCACACAAGGATACCCTTCAAGACCAGGATAAGTAGCTGTTTCACCTAATTTCATAGAGACAGAGAAAGTTAAGCAAAATGAGAAAACAGAGGAATTTGTTTTAAATGAAAGAACAAAAAACCCTGATAAAACAACTAATGAAACAGAGATAAATAATTTACCAGATAAAGAGCTAAAAGCATTAGTAATAAAAATACTAACTGAACTAGGGAAAAGAATAGATGAATACAGTGAGAATTTTAACAAGGAACTAGAAAATATTAAAAAAAGAACAAGTCAGGGATAAATTAGGAGTCAGGAATTAACGTATACACACTACTATATATAAAAGAGATAATCAACAAGGACCTACTGTATAGCACAGGGAACTCTACTCAGTATTCTGAAATAACCTATATGGGAAAAGAATCTGAAAAGGAACGGACATATGTATATATATAACTGAAACACTTTACTGTATACCTGAAACTAACACAACATTGTTAATCAACTATACTCCAATTAAAAAAAAAAGAACCAGTCAGAGCTGAAAAATACAATAATGGAAATGAAAAACACACTAGAAGGATTTAAAAGCAGACTAGGTAATAAAGAACACATAAGTAACATGGAAGATAGAATAATGGAAATCACCCAATCAGAACAGCAAAAAGAAAAATAAATTAAAAAAAATAAAACTAGTTTGTTTAAGGGACCTCTGGGACAACATCAAGCATACTAACATTCATATTATAGGGGTCCCAGAAGGAGAAGAGAGAAAGTGGTCAAAAATGTATTTGGAAAAGTTATGATTGAAAACTTCCTGAACCTGAAAGAGGAAACAGATATTCAAGTACAGGAAGCACAGAGAGACCCACATCAAGACATACCATAATTAAAATGGCAAAAGTTAAAGAAAAAGAGAGAATTCTAAAGACAGCAAGAGAAAAAACAGAGACACATACAAGGACAAGACACCCACTCCCCAATAGGCTATCAGCTGATTTTTCTGCAGAAACTTTACAAGAAAGAAGGGAGTGGCATAATATATTTAAAGTGCTGAAAGGGAAAAACCTACAACCTAGGATACTCTACCCAGCAAGATTATCATCTAGAGTTGAAGGAATGATAAAGAACTTCTCAGACAAGCAAAAAATAAAGGAGTTCATCAGTACTAAACCAACCCTAAAATAAATGTTAAAGTCTTCCCTAAGTGGAAAAGAAAAGGCTACAACAAGAAGTAAGAAGTCATAGGAAAGGAAAAACCCCACTAGTAAAGGCTGTGGATCAACCATTTAAATAAGTTAGTATAAATATTAAAAGACAAAAACTATAAATAAAATAAAATATAACTACAATAAACAGTTAAGGGATAAACATCAAAATCATAAAATGTGAGGGAGGAGAGAAAAAAATGTAGACCTTTTAGAATGTGTTTGAACTTAAAGGACTGTCAGTTTGAAACAAGCATATAGTTACATGACAACATATATGAACACCATGGTAACCCCAAATCAGAAACTTAAATAGATGCAAAAAAACAAAAAGAAAGGAACTCAAGCACACTACTAAAGAAAATAATCAAACCACAAGGGCAGAAACAAACAAACAAAAAGAAATAAACAAGAAGAACTACCAAAAAAACTGGAAAACAAGTAATAAGATGGCAATAATATCAATAATTACTTTAAACGTCAATGGGCTAAATGCTCCAATCAAAAGACAGAGGGTGGTTGACTGGATAAAAAACAAGACCCTTCTATATGCTGCCTACAAGAGACTGACTTCAGAGCTAAACACACACACAGACCAAAAATGAGGGAATGGAAAAAGATTTTATACAAACAGAAACAGCAAGAAGGCAGGGGTAGCAATAATCATATTAGACAAAATAGACTTTAAAACAAAGTCTATAACAAAAGACAAAGAAGGGCATTATATAACGATAAAGGGGAGGAAGACAAGATAGTGAAGTAGAAGGACTTGAGCTCACCTCCTCTCATGAAAACACCAAAATAACAACCATCAACAAAAGCCTGGCGGCTTTTGAACAACCATCGACAACCATCGACAAAAAAGACTGGAACTTACCAAAAAAGATATTCTACATCCAAAGACAAAGTAGCCACAATGAGACGGTAGTAGGGGTGCATTTGCAATACAATCAAATTCCATGCTCACCAGGTAGGCGACCCACAAACTGGAAAATAATTATATCACAGAGGTTCTGCCACAGGAGCGAGAGTTCTGAGCCCCATGTCAGGCTCCCCAGTCTGGGGGTCTGGCATCGGGAGGAAAAGCCCCCAGAGCATTTAGCTTTGAAGCTAAAAGCTTTTGCGCGGCAAGGGAAACCATCAACACCTGCTGAATGGAAGAAAATATTTGCAAATGACATGACCAATAAGGGGCCATATAAACAGCTCATACAACTCATACATATAAACAGCTCATACATATAAACAGCTCATACAACTCAATATCAAAAAAAATAAACAATCTGATTAAAAAATGGGCAGAAGACCTGAATAGATATTTTTCCAAAGACATACAGATGGCTAACAGGCACATGAAAAGATGCTCAACAGTCCTAATCATCAGAGAAATACAAATTAAAACCACAATGAGGTATCACCTTATACCTGTCAGAATGGCTATCAACAAAAAGACCACAAATAACAAATATTGGTGAAGAAGTGGAGAAAAGGGAACCCTAGTACACTGTTTGTGGGAATGTAGACTAGTACAGCCACTTGGAAAACAGTATGGAGGTACCCCAAAAAACTAAAAATAGAACAACCATATGATCCAGCAATTCTACTACTGGGTATATATCTAATGTATAAATATAGATATGTACATCTATATAGATTCATATATAGTCACATATATATTCATATATATAGGAGTATAAGCTATAAAAATATTAAATCACTATGTTATACACCTGAAACTAATATAATATTGTAAATAAACTGTATTTCAATTTTTTAAAAGGTAAAAAAATCTTTGAGGGAAATTTTTTTAAGAGTCAAGTATCTTTCCAGCCCTGTCTCTACTCCTCCACACTGGCTGATCTAGGGTCCTTCAAATCGCCCTACACATTCCTACCTCTGAGCTTAGTTCTCATGTTCCACCTCTCTCTCCTTCTCCTATCTACCCCAGTCCTACCTGGTCTTCATGACCCAGGACAAATGCTTTTCCATAAAGCCAATCACTCCTGACTGAAGGAACTTATCCCTCTAGGAATTCCTTTAACAATTACTTCTTTATGATTAACTTGTCAATTAATTATGCATTATCTCATGACATTTCTCCCACAGCTATGTTGAGTTAGTATTTGTCTTTCATAGTAATTTAACTTTTTACATATGGTCTTTTTCCCTAGATTATAAACATCTTAAGAAAGAAGCCTTGTCTTGACATCTTTCTTCTCAGCACCTTTTACAATGTTTTGCATGTCATCAAATTTAAATTAATGTATATCATTTGGATTTTAATTTTATCTAATTTCAAAGGTATATCAGGAGAGCCTTTGAGGCTGATGTCCACACTAAACAGATTATAAGCTCTTTAAGGACCATTTTGTTCATGACTATAGTCCCAGAACACAGCACTGCCTGGCATTCAGGAGATGCTCAATAATGCTGACATTTTGTCTATGCTCACATTTCAGTGTGTACTGTTTTTCATCATCAATGAAACAGTAGCCTCTAAAATATGATTACCATATGTTCTGGTTTTCCTGGGACAGTCCTGGTTTTCCCCTCATAATTATTAACAGTGCCTAAGTGTTCCACTTTGGATAATAAGTTATATGGTCACTTACCCTGAAATCAAAGCAAATTCAGTTACTTCATTTATTGTTTTCAGCTCTGACTTTGACCTCCTCTGCGTGTTTTGGCTTTGGTTGTTTGCTTTTATTATGTCTTGGTGCTCAATTCTGAATCCTTTCAGGGTCTTCCTTACCTTCTTTGGATCCAGTTAGGTTTCCATCTGTGTGTTTGGTTCAGTGATGCAGAAATACAGGTTTAACATAACTAAGTTAATTGCTTCTCTTTAACCCTCATAAAAGCTGCTTCAAGACTGTTTTCTTTTACTAATATGAAATCTGTTTCTTGCATCATTGCTGGCATCCGAGCATTCATGAGCAGCATAGCAAAGGACAAACTCACGTCTGGAATGAAGGACGAGAACATATTTAGTGAAGTCATTAAAATTTCAATTCTTAAAGAGTTTTGTGCCAGAAACCAATCTAAACAAATAAACGTATATTTGCTAGTGTCTAAGGAGAGCCATCAATAATTAATTCTTAAGTTTTGTACAGATACTTATTAGAGAACACTGTATAATTAAACATTCTTATGTTATCTCTGTTGAATTTGAAGCCCTCCTTTTTTTTTAGATTGTATTTATAATAAAAATCTAATTTTTTCTTTCTGAGTTATCCCCCTTTTCTCTCCCACTTTTTAAAGCTTTTATGTGGTTTTTTTAACCACCTTCACCATTATATGCTTTTAATTTAAAAATACAGCTCACATTTTTTTCTGTCACCTTTTAGCTGAATAAATTCTTACAACAAAACAGCCTGTTAAGAATTATACTTATTTTGGGTTATAAAAATCTATACTCATTTTGATATAAATTTTGATAGATGGCAAAATTCTAAAATTTCTAGTATTTGTAACGAAATTGGGCAGTACTTACTATTTTAACCCATATTTCATTTTCAATGTATAGTGTTGGAATTAATAATACCAGTAATACAAGGAGCAAAAGATGAACACCCATCTTAAAGGAGCTTATAGTCTATCTTGAAAGCATCACATATATACATATCATAGCTGAAGGATAATTTTAAGGTAGTTTATAAACAAGTGAGACATTGTAGTATTTAAACCGCAAAGGTCAGCTCTTAGCAATTCAAAGTCAGGGAAGACAGTTGTTTAGAGACAACTTTGGAGAGGAGTTGATTCTTTCCTCCTTGAAGATAGTGTAAGGGTAAATTGCTGGAGGGGTAAAGGGTGCTTTCTAGGCAGTGAGTAGCTTTGAGCCAAACCTTCCTGGTTGGAACTGGCATGGGTAAGAGATTGACCTGACAGGAGTAGCTTTTTATTTAGGGAGTAGCTGAGAGTGTACTGGAAGCCAGAATGGCAAGGATCATGTGAAAACCTTCACACAGGACAAAACCCACAGGGAACAGACCAAAGAAGAGCTATTCTCATTGAAGCTGGGGCTGGTCCCAGAGCTCCACCTGATCATGTCTCCTCCCCTTAGCCCAGGGGGTAACCTACCTCCAAGGACTCTACCCCTGTCCCCATGACTCTGTAAAAACGAGTTTTGTCCTCCTTTCCACAATATAGTATCAATAACATATTTGTCAACAGATAGTATAAAATTCTAAAACTTTGAGTTATTTCCTCTTGTGCTATTTATATAAGATCCAAACCCATTAAACAGAATCTTATTAGAATGAAAAAATATATCATTAGTAAAATGTTAACAAGCTCCAGCAGATTTTGGGCCTACTATAAGCTTCATTTCGTGACTAAAATTCTCCAGGCACCAAATGATAAAACATTTGAGATGATAAATGGAATTTAACCTGTCTTCTTCCAAGCATGAAAGGGAACTCGTTTTCTTGGAGAGTTGGTCTTGGAGAATTTTTACACTAAGCCAAAGTTGGCTTTCCTAAAATAGTACAGTTTAAAGAGAACAAACAACAACTGCTGCCTTTCCTTGTCTGCTGTGTCTGCATCAATGTCATTAACTCTGATTGTCTGCTACTTTTAACTTTGGGGAAAGGATCAAAATATCATCCACTCATCCAATACTGCACTTGGCACTGGATAAGTCAAGTGAGTTTTATAAGGGCAGAATTTAATGATGGCTACTTAGCGTGAAGTTTGTTTTGGTTCCAGGATAGGAAGCAGCAGCATGTATTTGCAACCTGGAAGAGTGCTGTGATAGTTTCCTAGGGCTGCCCTAAGAGTTCCACAAACTGGGTGCCTTGCAGTTTTGGAAGCTGGAAGTCTGAGATCAAGGTCTTGGCAGTGTTGGTTCCTTCTGAGGGAGTGAGCGAGAATCTATTCCAGGTCTTTCCCCTAACTTCCGGTGCTTTGCTGGCAATCTTTGGCATTCCTTGGATTGTAGATGCACCACCTGACCTCTGCCTTCACCTTCATATGGGATTCTCCCAGTGTGTGTGCATGTATGTTTATGTGTCCACATTGCCCCTTTTTATAAGGACACCAGTCATATTGGGTTAGGGGCCCATTCTACTGCAGTATAACCTCATCTTAACTTATTACACCTGCAATGACCCTATTTCCAAATAAGGTCACATTCTGAGCTACTGGGGGTTAGGACTTTTAATATATGAATTGAGGGGCGGGGGACACACAATTCAACCTTTAAAAAATGCTCAGTCCAGTGTTATATCCTACTCCACCCTGGTTCCACCAAGGTTAACCATGGTTGCCCCATGGCCAGAATCTGACTGAGGTGATGGGATTCACTCTGGCCCCCTGCCCTTGCCTCCTCTGAGACTGCAGAGCCCCAACAGGCTGGCTAAGAGCCACATGGACACCAGGCTTTGATAAGGTGACCTCCCTCTGGATTTACACCAATGAACCTGCTTTGACTTCTGCTGTATGGGGGCAAAGGTAGGCATGTCTATGCTGGGGTGAGTCTCAGCCACCAACTACAGCTGCATTCATGGTTTTCTTTCTCTTTGATAAGTGCCCACAGCCTACATCATGTCCCCCTTTGCAGGCTCAATTTAAAGACAGGCTTCGCACTGAGGTCAATTAGAGAGGTAAAAGCATAAGCAAATAGTCACTTCTCACCTTTCTAAGCTGCTTTTAGTCAGTTTCTCATTTCTTCATTCTCTTCCTAAAGATATTTATGTTTAAATAAAGGTTTTCTCCCTCACAGCCTGATTTTTCCATCTGCTTGATTCCTGCAGTGAAGTCTTAACCCTATGTTTGTTTGTCTTCTCACAGCTTGTTGCCATGGGAATGATTATAAGATGGCAAATTTCAACACTGTCTTCAAAGCACCCTGAAAGAGATGGAGAAAATGGGCAGGATAGAAATATGCTCTTAGCTGAACATGTATCTCTGATTACTGGCCAAAGCAGAGTAGAAGGAAAGTTCAGAGTAACAAGGGATACATGAATGTTTAAGTATACATCAAATGGATCCCCACGACAAGCCTCCTCTTATCTAAGGAATAATAGGCACTAGAAACCCAGGAATTGGCCGCCTTGAAAGATGAGCTCTTGTGATTCACAAATGAAAGAATTCTTTGTGCTGAAGAAACGCTTCAGCGGCCCTGTTGAGAGGCTGAGTTGGCTCTAGAGGTGTTGACTTACTCCCTGGGCTCCCTCAGCCCACGTGAAGGCATGCCTGACATCCTGAGAAAGTACGTTAGGCTGCAGCCTTGGCTCCAAGGTCTTAGGGGGACATGAAGCACTGACTTGCCCAGCAGTCTGGTTATAATTTCTGCTGTTCCTGGATAGAGGCAGGGAAATACCACAAAGGGATAAAGAAAGAAAGGCTTATGTTCTTAATTTTTCATGAGAAAAACTATTGCACAATAATAAACCACCCTCAAGTCACATATTATTTAGATGACACAGGGGCATAGGATCCTGGTCTGAGCTCTAGACATCCAAGTATTTAAAGTGAACTTGCCATCATTTGGCTTCATTATTACCCAGGTGCCAAGATGCCTTAGCTAGTGCAATCCGCCTATGACTACGTACATATGCTGTGGTTTTAATGTAAAAACACCTAATTTTCTTTGTAATTTTTTTCTTGTTATTTTCTTTTAGATAAAAATATATACTCTGGAAGAGCACAATATTTTATCTGTTTGTGTTGAAAAGCATGTGGAAAGACCAGCACACTTGGCTTATCATCTCTTGTCTGACTTTACCAAGCGACCTTTGTGGGACCCCCATTACATGTAAGAATAAATTTTAAATATTTTCTTATTCAACCCTGACATCATGTAAAAGATAACCTCTACATTGCAGTGTATCTCCATTGCCCAATGTATGACCTATTGTTTTATTAAACAGTATTTGCTAAAGTTTGCTCTGCATGGAAAACTGCATCAGGTGCTACTGAGAGACACAAAAATTATTATAATCATCTATTTTTCATCTATATTGAGTTGACATGCTTTACCCACATCTATTGTACTCCTATCAATAACTCTTCAAAGTTGATATTATTCCTATTTAACAAGAGAGAGATCCCAAGACTTGCCAACATTACACAGGCAGTAAAGCAATGGAACCTGAATTGGAACCCAGGTCTGTCAGGCTCTGAATTCTACACTCTTGTACTTTAATACACAGTCTCATTGCTCTTGAGGAAGTGATTATCAAATAGTCCCTCCAACTTCCCACTCTTGATCTTTATTTGATAGTCCCCTCTTTTTCTGTGAAGCAGCACTCCCTGGTGAGAAGCTGGGAGAAGCAGCTCTATGAGTACATTCCTTCCTGCTCTCCATGTCTGATCAGGGCCCACTCCTGTCAGCCTACATCTCTTCTGTTACTCGTTGTCTCCCACATCCCTAATCCAATCTTCTCCACTCTCCCTCCTTTCCTGGAATGCAGAGCTGGGCATCTTGTCAACTGCACTGTCAGGGTAACACCCCCTTCTTCAAGGAGTCCAAGCTCCTGGGCTGCAGGGCTCAGGCCTCATGGACACCTTGCTTGAAGGAAAGGATTAGTAAGATTATACCTATTATATTCAGCATTACCATTTACTTCCTAATTTGGATGAAGTAGAGTTTCATCTTTTAAATGTCCAAATCTCACTGTGATTAACAGCATGTAATAGACAATTTAACACCATTAAAGTGAAACATCTCTGGGCTCATGTGTTACATTTGCATAGAGGCCAGAATGATACATCCTGGTTAATGTTACAATAATAAACATTCGGAGAGAAGAGGAAACACTTGACGATTTTCTTGCGTAGATCTTTGTAGATAACTCTATAAGTACAAAGATTTTAGCAAGAATAATGCCTAAACTTGCTGCTTTTTTCAAATGTATCTCCCATTATTTTCTATATCACCTGACATTCTAGCCTAACTGAACTTCAATGAATGAATTCTAATTCCACTTACTATTTTGGTGCATCTATCATGATTCAGGTACTGTGCCAGGTGTTTTCACTTGATCCTCACAATAACCCCATAGGTACTATTATCTACATTTTATAGATGAAAAAAAAGTGACTTGCCTAACATAACATAGCTACTAAGCAATTTGAGACTCAAAGGCAAGTTGCTTGATTCCAAGCTTAGTTCTCTTTCCCAATATACCATATTCCTTTACCTCAGAGTCGTTGGATTGTCTATATAATTCACTAGTCTTCAAAATATTATTACTTGATCCTAGAGAAAAATAATTTTGTGGAAAAAAGAAAAGTGCCTTTCTCTTCAGTGTTGAGGGCAGTGACCTTAGAGTCAGATGGCCAGCATTCTTTTCATCACATGCAGAATTATTCCTTCTGGCCAAACAACTCTAAAAACAGACTTTAAGAAATGATGCTGGCTTTGGGGGGATGGTTATGTGAGCAGAAGGGTGAATATGGACACCAATAATGAAGTTACGCAAACAAACAAAACGAATGCCTTATTCTACCAGGTAGTAAAATGCAGACTTTCTGTCACTGTTCTATTTACATAGGTCCTGTGAAGTCATAGACTGGGTAAGTGAAGATGATCAGATATATTATATCACTTGTCCTGTGGTGAATGATGACAAACCCAAAGACTTGGTAGTACTTGTTTCACGAAGAAGGCCTCTCAAAGATGGGTGAGTATATGTAATTCAAGTGTTATAGCAATGTCTTATAATATAGAGTAGAAAGAAAAAGTTGATATGAAAACAAGGAAGTCAATGGAATAAGCATTTCTGGTCTTGAATGATGTTCATGTGAATTTTTTCTAGATGAGGCTTTAGTTATCATTAAAAAACAAAGAACCAGAAAGAAACAATTATCTATTAAGTGCCAGCCATGTGCAAAGCATCTGTGAGACTCGTAAAGCAGTTCCCTTTCCTTTTGCTCTATGCAGATGTAAAACGGATATTTAGCAAACCTTCAAAATATTCCGTTATTGTAAAAATGCAGTGAAAGCCAAATAAAATACCAGGAATTGGTTTTGGTTCAGAATTTACAAAGACTCAACTGTGCTAGACACCCAAAATGGCTGGCTGTCAATTAGAGTGTCTGTTCATGGCTTCTCCATGGGCATTGGGCTTCTCAGAGAATAGTGTCTAGGTTCTAAGGGGAAGGGTCGGGGCCCAAGAGCAGGTGTTCAAAGGGACAAGAAGTGGAAGCTGCCAGGGCAGTTATGGTCTACCCCTGGAACTAGCCAGCATTATTTCTGATGTCAAAGCTGGCCTATAGAAATAATCCCTCTCGTGTGGGATTAATGCACATGGATGTTCAGTGTAGTATCATTTACTATGGCAAAAGATATTAGAAATAGACTGAAGCTCCATCTTATTAATTATGGTAGAACCACACTACAGAGCACTATACCAGCATTAAAAAGGATGAAGTAGTCACAGAGGCATTGATACAGAAACACCTCCAAAGTTTTACCATTAGGTGAAAAATCAAATTATAGACCAATATTTGTAAAATGATTATATTTATGTAAAAATCTACATACATCCATTTGCTTACATAAATGTTATATATTTATAAAAAGATCTGGAGGATCACAATATAACGTGGTCATCTCTAGGATAAGCATGTATTGTGCTTATGGTGGACTGAAGGATGACTTCTATTTTCTAATGTATAGGGTTCTCTATTGTTTGAAGGTTCTTTAAAACAATGGTATTATTTTTCATTAAAAAAAGAAGAGACTGAAATTACAACCCATTAGGGCACCAAAAAAAAAAAAAAAAAACCAGTTTGGAGGTTGACTGCAGCTTTGCGGAGTTATACAAAGTATATGTAATTCTTAGGCAGAAAACACCTATGGCCCTTATTATTTGCTATACTTGAATGTATCCACAGAGAATTTTTCCTATGTATACCACTCATCTAAAAGATCTGGGTGTCTATAGTTTTACTTCTACTATATAAAGAAGTTGCATTAACTGTAGGAATTTATTTTCTAACAACTATTCTTTGTTTCTCTCAAGAACTTTGAAAATGTCCTTTTATCTTTCAGTCACACTTACACGGTGGCAGTGAGGTCAGTTATTCTGCCATCAGTCCCACCTTCTCCACAGTACAGCAGAAGTGAAATCATAAGTGCTGGATTTCTCATCCGTGCTATTGACAGCAGTTCATGTACCGTAAGTTTGATGAAACATCTGCAGATTAATTTGTTCCTACAGATACAGAGGAACCTTTTACCTGGATTTACTAATTAACTCTAATTCTGCAATGTGTCCACCCACACCCACCAGGGAATCCTAAGGTCATCCTTTCAGATCCATTCCCAAAAGATTAGGGTCATAGCCTCCCCTACACCAACAAGATTGAGATCCCTGCTTGAAAAAGCTCCAAGTCAGTAAGAAATTAAAATATTGTTTTGTTTTGCTTTGTTTTTTGAAACAGGTATCTTACTTTAACCAGATTTCTGCTAGCATCCTTCCTTACTTTGCTGGAAATCTTGGTGGCTGGTCAAAATCCATTGAAGAGACAGCAGCCTCCTGTATACAATTCATAGAGAACACTACTGATGATGGGTTGATAAGCATATTTTAAATGATAAACTTTAAATTATCTGTCATTTTATTTTCCACTTTCAATTTCAAGCACCCTTAGCTCTGACACTTGACAAGCTTCTGGGCCACAAATAATTTAATATCAGTCTAAGCAAAATGCAGTTATGAAGAGGTTAAAAAACAAAATGCATCCCAAGTCCAATACCAGTGATTTGGGTTAACATTAAAAGAGCTTTAAAACTCTGTTTTAGATCACCTGTGGCTTTGCTCCCTTCCAGGGGCACAGGCAATGGAAAATTCCCACATGCAATATTGTGTGTTCTGTAAAATGGTGGAAGTTAGGTTAAAATAATCAAAACGTTTTTAGGCTACATGTTCTGTTTGAAAGTTTACAAAATTTTATAAAATCAGAAATGATAAGTTGGCTAGTTGATTAATAGTATGGGGTTGTTCCATGTACAGCAGGTATCTGTATGTCAAGAGCATCTGACAAGATGTATTATGTTTTAGAGCTTTAAATTAGGAAGACATTAAAACATAATGGAATCCAATCAATTTTAGTAATAGGAACTACTTTCCTAGTGTCATTTAACATATATCAAGTTAGCTGACCAATTTAGTATCTATTGCTCTATCTACACTCACAAAGTACCTGCAAAATGTGATATTGTAGAGAAAGCATTAAGAAAGCTCTACTTTAATAATCATTACATTAGAACTTTATTCCCTAGACTTTTTAAAAAAATTTATTTTGTTTTTGTCTGTGTTGGGTCTTTGTTGCTGTGCATGGGATTTCTCTAGTTGCGGCGAGCAGGCGCTACTCTTCATTGCGGTACACAGGTATCTCACCGTGGTGGCTTCACTTGTTGTGGAGCACGGGATCCAGGGTGCATGGGCTTCAGTAGTTGTACGTGGGCTCAGTAGTTGTGGTGCATGGGCTTAGCTGCTCCGCGGCACGTGGGATCTTCCCGGACCAGGGATCAAACCCGTGTCCCCTGCATTGGCAGGTGGATTCTTAACCACGGCACCACCAAGGAAGTCCCCCTAGGCTTTAACATTTATTATTTTACTCTGTCTGTGATTTGTCTTAACTCATAAGACAAACCAGCATACGTCAAGTTAGCCTCCTCTACAGGACAATTTCTAAAAGTTAAAGGACTTCTCCGTTAAGAGTTTAAAGCACTTAAGAGATTAGTTACATCCTGCTTTAGTTTGTCAAATCTTTACTTCTGTCCAAATTTGGCTGTAATTATTTTTATTAATCTGTGCCAGCAGGTTATTTATATGAACTTTGGACTGTGTCCCAATTTTATGAATTAACATTTATATACAATAAGAAGAATGGATATGTCAATTAAAACATGCTTGTACATTACATTCCAAAAGTAGAAAGATTTTTGAGAATATTTTTAGATTTTAAAAAGGTGAAAAAAAGGAGCAATAAAGAGGGTTACAGTACACTAGAGTTTTGTATGCTAAAATTTCAGCCCTCTCCTACAACTGAAACACTTCTAACTGCTGCCTCTCCTACACCTCTGAATTTATTTATTTTTTTTGAATCTTTCTCCTGAACAGTAACAGAAACATTGTGAGGTTGAAGGAATAGAGTAACTTTGGCTGGATCACTTTTAGATATAAAGATGTTGCCCACTCTAACTTGTAACACAGGCATAGTCAAGCACTGTCCAATATGGTAGGCACTAGCCATATGTGACCATTTACATTAATCAAACTTAAATAAAATTTGAACATCAGCCACACTAGCCCCACTTCAATATTATCAGTCACGTGGTCATCAAGGCCTAATTTGAAGTGCTCACTTTCAGACTACTGGACTAAAGAGACTTTAAAAGGGCATGACACTGGAAAAGATAGCAATGCATTCAGGCTCTACATAGGGCACCTCAAAAAGTTTAAAATCTGTGCCTCAAACCATGACACGACTAGGGCATTCCTATTGCAAAATTCAACAACAGCCCTTAGGTTTACATTTCCTTTTTTTTTTTTTCTTTTTTTATAAATTTATTTATTTTTGGCTGTGTTGGGTCTTCGTTGCTGCATGCAGGCTTTTCTCTAGTTGCAGACAGCAGGGGCTACTCTTCGTTGTGGTGCGCAGGCTTCTCATTGCAGTGGCTTCTCTTGTTGTGGAGCACGGGCTCTAGGTGCAGGGGCTCCAGTGGTTGTGGCTTGTGGGCTCTAGAGCGCAGGCTCAGTAGTTGTGGTGCACGACTCTGCTGTTCCACAGCATGTGGCATCTTCCCGGACCAGGGATCGAACCCGTGTCCCCTGCATTGGCAGGCGGATTCTTAACCACTGCGCTACCAAGGAAGCCCTACATTTCCTTTTTTAATGGAAATGTATTTGATTGCTCTTTCACTCATTCAATAAATATTTAAGAACCTACTTTGTGTTAGACACTTTTAGGCACTGTGGGTTCAGCAAGGAACAGAAGCATACTGATAACATCATAATAAAATATTGATAAATAAATAGAATATTTAGGAGATAAGTGTTAAATGGAAAAATAAAGCAGGGTAAAGGATGTGAGTGCTGGGGAGGTGTTGGAGGTAGTTGTTCATATTTTAAATAGGGTGGCCACTTGCCAGAAGCAGCAGGAAAATGCTTCTGCTGCTTCTGGGCCCCCCTCCCCAGGGCTGGGAGGCCAGTGCTATGGCTCAGTGCAGAGACCGGGGTCCCTCAGCCCCGCTGACTTTGCAGGACGCCCCACCCCCCCACTCCTTACCTCGGCCACCCACATTCCAGCTGGACCAGGGCTGGAGGGGCCTTGTGAGGAGTTCCAGGAGTTGCCCTCATGCCTGGGAATTGCAGGCATGTGGACCAGGGGTCAGAAGTGTGAAGCTTCACATCTACTCCTTAAGGGAACTGCAAGTTAAAGACATAAAATTTAATAACATTTTTCTGGCCATGAAACATGACTTTTGTCAAACAACAAGAAGGTGTGGGGGGGAGTTCACACTGAAAGATAGTAAATATTCTATATAATGAATGTAGCAATATATACATCCAGGATTCGGGCTTTTGGTTATTGATGGCCTGGTGGATAGGGTGGTCAGAGTAGGCCCCATTGAGGGATATTTCAGTGAAAACCTGAAGGCAGAGAGGGACTGAACCATGAGGATCTCTGGAGATAGCATGTTTCCTGCAGAAGAACTAGCCCAGGCACAGCCTTTGAGATGGGAATGTGTTTCTGGCACATTCCAGGAAAAGCAGACGCTGGAGAGGCTGGAATAGAGAGGTAATTAAAGACAGATGAATTAACGACAGGCTTTTCTGGATTTCTTTGGTGCCCTGACTTTAAGCAAACATGCCTGAACCAAGGATAAGCAGCAAAGCTCGTTCATCAGCACTCACCCTCAAGCCGCTGGAGACTAAGGACAGAGGGAACATAAAAATGTAGTCATGCTTATTTTCTCCTTTGGAGTGTCAAAATATCCTCCAGGAACACTAAAGATTTCATACCTTTCTTGATAGTAAGGGTTTTCAAGTGCGTCTAACAGGACTGAAAGCTTTTTGATTAAGAAAGGACGTTCTTCCCTGTTAATTCTTCCTGGTTTTAATGCAACTGAGTTTCTGATTTATATTCAGTTTTTCTATCATATTTTTAAAGAATTCTAGAGGAAAAAAATGTAAAAATTGATCTATACAGTTTAGAATATAGTTTACCGTTATGGTCTAACACCTCTAGGAAATAATGAACAATTTTAATTAAACCTAGAGAAATCCAGAGTATTTTTATATATACCATCACATGGTTTTGTTCATATTTCCTATTGCACATTTCAGAGACAACCTTGGAAATTTTTATTGGTATATTTATAGGAGTAGTTTTGAAAATATATGTTGAAAATGTGTATGTTAAGGAATGTTTTATGTTTAGAATAAATTATTGAAATGTAAACTATGAACCTTGTTCATGACTCATTTTACCCATTTGAAGGTAGTGTAACTACTGGGACAGACAGTTCACCATGGTCCCAGAGGGGCCTGCATATTATTGCTGAGTGGGCCAAACTGCAAGACTTATTTATCCACAGGCAAATGCTAGTCCCATAGGCAATTAAGTAGGTCAAGGTGACCACAGCTTGACTTCAGTGTAATGGCTCACTCTCTGGGGCGTAGGAAGGCTGGCTTGTTTGCTCTGTGCTACAGCATTTGCAACTTGTTCCTCAGCTGTGACACAAACCGGCTATGTCTATAGCATCCATCTGGGCCCATCATGTCACCCTGTGGGGACTAAGGGAAAAAGGGAAGCAACAGAAATAAGTTGATACTCACGGTGTTTGCTGTGCCATGAATACTATCTTTTGTCTCTGAACCAGGATTCTCATGCCTTGTCGACATCCATGAAACAGTAACAGACTAGTGTATTAAGAACCTCAGACCCTTCACAGTTCTTGATAGTAACCCACCTCCAGATTCAAAAGTCAAAGAAATATTATAAAATGTCTTTCTCAGTGTACTTGAAGGTATAAAGTACCATATAAAAATTACACATTTGATGCCATCTTTCCCTTCCTCATTTTGTGACATTTTTAGGGACATTTGAAAATAGATTCGAAATTAATATTTCGATCATTTCCATAGCTCATTATCCCTCTCCATGTCCTCCCTTCTTTCTTCATCTGGCTTAGATTCCATGGTCTATCATTAATATCACACCCTGGAAAACACCTGTACCTTTTCCTTTCATTCTACTTGTCTGGCAAACTCAAAACTGTGGTTAAAGTATTTGTAATACCTCACCCCTGCACTAAGCATCTGAAAATTGTGGCTGGGTCTCACCTGAAATTTATGACCACAGATTTCAAAAGGGCTCTGATAATACTACTACATTTCCTATATGTTTGCTATTTCACACTGCCTTCTCTTCCTTCAAGTTTCTCATGTCTCTTACCCTTTCTCAGTTAATGAAATTTAGAAAATACTTCGAGGAAAATATAAACCATTAGGCAGAAGTTGTCTCATCTCCCCATCTATGTACATTCCCCATCTTTGCCATCCCTCCTAACACAATGAATT